AAGGCTTTAACTAGCCAAACAGACCCTAACACAAATAACTAAATTATTTCAACATCCCCCTCAAGTTGGAGCATAGATGTCAATCATGCCCAACTTGTCACACAAATCATTGTGCCACACATGATGATGACCTTTGGTGAAGATATCTGCAAGTTGTTCTTCTGAGCTGACATATGTAGTACACACTCTCCATTTACAAGTTTCTCTCTAATAGAATGCTTGTCCACTTCAATGTGTTTCGTCCTATCGTGCAGGACTGGATTAGCAGCAATATTGATGGCAGCTTTATTGTCACAATAGAGTGACATAGGGTTGCTCACTGCAAAACTCAGTTCACCTAACATATTTCTTATCCACATGATTTCAACAACCCCATGAGACATCGCTCTATGTTCTGCTTCAGCACTAGATCTAGCCACCACACTTTGTTTTTTACTTCTCCATGTGACCTGGTTTCCTCCTACAAAGGCACAATACCCACTGGTAGACTTTCGGTCATCAACTGTTCCTGCCCAATCAACATCAGTATATACTTCCACCTTTAAGTGTCCATGTTTCTGGAACAACAAACCAGCTCCGGAAACTTCTAGAGGTATCTAAGGATCCTCTCTGCAGCTTCAAAGTGAGTTGTCCTAGGATTGTGCATGAACTGACTAAGGACACCCACTGCATAAGCAATATCAGGCCTGGTCATAGACAAATACAAGAGTCTCCCTACGAGTCTCTGGAACTTCTTCACATCTTTCAAAAACTCTCCTTGACTGTAGGAAACAAAAGCTGATGTGGGACCTTATACTCTAGTAACCGAGATGGCATACGGTTGATGATGTATGTAGCACATAAAACTGCATCCATCCAAAAACGTTTTGGCACATTCATATGAATTAATAAGCCACGAGCTACTTTGAGAAGGTGACGGTTCTTTCGTTCAGCAATACCGTTTTGTTGGGGTGTCCTAGCACAAGAGCTTATTTGAAGTGACCCACTCGAAGCAAAAAACTCCGTGAGATCACTATGGAAGTATTCCTTTCGATTGTCTGACTGGAAGATATGGATTTCAGCTTGGAACTGAGTGAACACCATGCATTGAAAGTCTTTCACAATTTTTGGCACTTCATCTYKAGATCRCATAGGRTAAACCCAAGTGTATCTAGAGTAATCATCAATCAAGGTAATGAAGTACTTATATCCAGCCTTAGTAGGTAGAGTAACAGGGTCCCAAACATCAGAATAAACAATATGAAATGGAAATTCAGATCTTTTATTTCTCAAAGGAAAAGAACTTCTA